TCTCCAAAAAATATAGAGCGGTTTACAGCAGTACATTCATCATCAATGATGGTGTCTAGCAGCGTGTTGGTGTGCCTTTTGTCCTCTCTCTCTCGCCTATGACAAAAACCGCTGCCGCTCGCATAACGCACAACACAACCAACGCTTGTTCTTGTCTCCTCTCGCTTCCTCCGCCGATAGCAAACAGCAGCACAGTATGGGGCACACCCTCCCACCTCGTTCTCCCGGTGGTGTGTGTCCACGTTCCCTGTTACTGTGTAACATGCATGTCTTGGCCACAGCAGCAGCAGCAGCAGCAGCTGCTGAGCACACCGACCGGCGGAACCAAAAATGAATCACGCCTGTCTTGGATTGTGGGCGGGGACGCTTGGTTCCCTACTTCAAATTCGGCGCAGATACTGAGCTAACTCGATGCGTCGAGCACAGATTGAGCTGGAATCAGTTGTGACAGCTCTGGCAAAATTCTACTTGTTGTGCGAAAATCTTGAGTTGCAGTCTGGTGCCTAGATGGTGAAATGGGCTCGAAANTGCGTCGAGCACAGATTGAGCTGGAAGCACTTGTGACAGCTCTGGGAAAATTCTTCTTGTGCGAAAATCTTGAGTTGCAGTCCGGTGCCTAGATAGTGAAATGGGCTCGAAACCCAGCGTAAATTTCGGCGCACAGACACGATCGGACAACGCGCTGCGAAATTGCCCCCCTATGCACGATTTTTGTTTTTCAGGTTCGTACATGCACATCACGACCCCTCTATCAGTTTCTTCTTGCAACAGCAAGAACGCCCCCCTATCGGGCCGCTCTTCATCAAAAATGCTTTTGCAACAGCAGAAAGCTATTCTCTCTAATCTGTCGCTAATTGTTCTCAAACCTCTCCCGGCGCTCTCCCCCCCCTCCCACCGCATGCATGCGCGTTCTACACCGCTTCGCCAACTCTTGCTCTTTCCCAAACCTCAGGCCAAAAGCACCGGCGGTTTCTATCTCCAGCTGATCCAACCCATCAAACGCGAGGAGCATGTTGTGGATGATGCAAGCGGTGAAACATGCGTCGTCGATCTTTGTCCGGTCGCCGAACAAAATCCCGGTCTTGAAGAGCCTGAACCGCCCCTTGAGTCGTCCGAACAAGCACTCGATGTCCTTGCGAACTGACTCCAACCTCTTGCTCCACTGCTGCTCCGCCACGTTCGCATACACCTTGAACGGGCATATCAGAAGGGGGACCTGTTGCACGGGGATAAACATCGGGAGAAATGAACAGCAGGTTCAGGGGGCGGTACTTTC